GCAAGAGAATATCGTAATCTCAGGCCCCGTTTTCCAGAAAAAACCCCACAACATTACTACCCCAACCAAAATGTGACCTATGCTCCTCAACCCTACATGGTCATGAACACTCAGCCTTATTTCCAGCCACCGCAACAAGACAATCGGGGTCAAGCTCCACCTCCCAGAAATCAGCCTCCTTACCGAAACCACTATAATTCACAACTACCTCAAAATAACTTCCGTCCTCAAGAACCACCCAGGAGACGGACTTTCACACCCATTGGTGAACCGTATTCTACCCTATTCCCAAAACTAGTCCAGATGGGTTTCCTGCAACCAGTCCCTCAGACAAGGCACAACCCGGCATCACCTGCTTACAAAGCCGGTGTCAGGTGTGCTTATCATTCGGGGGCAGAGGGGCATGATACCAATGGTTGTTGGACTTTCAGAAGGGTGGTTGAGAACTTAATAGAACAGGGAAAGATAGTACTGAGGGACGAAGAGGTCCCAAATGTGACCAACAATCTATTACCCGTTCACAATAATGGGTCGTTGATCGGGATGATCTGTGAAGACAAGGAATTTGACCCTACCTTGAAAGCTATAATCGCCATTGTCGATACAGGGATAAAGCCTAAAGCAGCCCCGAAGCAAGAGAAAGGGGAAAAGAAGACTAGTACCGTCAAGGTTGAGCTCGAAGAGAAAGCTGGGACAAAGACAGAGACAATGGTGCCCGCGAAGAATGAAGTTCTCTATATTCCACGAGGTCGATCAGAGAAGCCACAGAGATTCGAAGTCAAAAGGGCAATACCAATGTACGTGTCGAAAGGGGCTTATGTGGTCCAGGGAACGATTAAACCGCCTCGGCTGAATGAGCCAGTGGTTATCGGACGCGTACCACAGAAGCCAATGATAAACCCGTCCACAGTACCGTTGAACTATCAAAGAACATTGGTTATGTACCAAGGCAAAGAAGTCACGGGGGAACTCCCAGAGAATACTTCCGTTGGAAAACATTCAGACACTCAAGAGGTAAACAATGCCACACAGAAGCGCTTCCCACCCAAGAAGCCTGTAAGCGCTGAAGAAGCAGAGGCTTTCTTCCAAAAGATGAAAATGCCTGACTACGAAGTGGTGGATCAGTTACGCAAGTGCCCTGAGCAAGTGTCTATGCTATCTTTGCTAATAAGGTCTGCCGAACATCAGAAGATCTTGCTCAAAACCCTGAACGAAGCGTATATATCGGTCGAGACTTCAGTTGAACAACTGGAAAGAATGACGGAGAGGTTCTTCACGGTTAATCAAGTTTCTTTTAGTAAGAACGATTTACCTCCGGAGGGAGCGGCTCACAACAAGGCTTTACACCTGACAGTCAAGTGTGAAGACTACTACGTCAAGCGGGTAATGTTGGATGGAGGTTCGGATGTTGACATTTGTCCTCTCTCCATGCTGCAGAGAATGGAAATTGGGGCCGGAAGGATTCTNTGGCAGAGCAGTATGAAGAAGGAAAACCTTGCCCCCAACCTTTCTTGTCCAACGCCTCAATCATAGTTGCTAAAGAAATGATCCGACAGGGATTCAGACCAGGGAAAGGGCTTGGACGAATGCTGCAAGGAATAACGGAACCCATCAGCTTACCTTCCACTAAGAAACTCTTCGGGATAGGCTTCCAACCCACTCCAAAATATTAGGATTGGGCAAAGAAGAGGAAAAATGAGGGTTGGAAGTTGCCTCGACCATTGCCACATTTATACGAGACTTTCGTCGGACCAAAATACATTGAAGAAGAAGACGACGAGGCTTTTACGGCGGAAGAGATCGAAGAAATATGTGGGGCAATGAGAGGAATGCTTTACGAAACCCACATGGTTCAACCAGAGAAGGAACAAGCACCGCTGAGATGCTATATGTGGGGCCAAATGCTAAGCTTCAGAATTGGGAGGCCACACCGTTCCCAACTAGGCAGGAGTCCGGGTAGACCTGTCCTGCCACCTTTCCTGCATCACGAGTTATCTTAGGGTGTAACTCGGATGTTTTTATTTAGTTTCCTATTTTAAATTCCTGAATTATAAACCTTGTTATTTTTCCAATTCCAAGGAATAAAATCAGTATTTCATCATTTTTCCTTTATTCTCTCTGATTTCTGCTATCTTTCCTTTATCTTTTCCTTTCAGTTATAATAATGCGGCTTTAAATAATATGACATGCTTGCGGACTTCACGCCCAGATCCCAACGAGCTGTTTAATTGTGAAATAATGAACCAAGAACCAGAATATGACGAAAAAGAGGCTTTTAGGGAAATAAATCGAGAATTGGAACACTTTGAGAATAAACTTAAGCCGAATCTGAAGGACACTGAGCCGGTTAATTTGGGAACTCCTGAAGAAATCCGAGAGACCAAAATAAGCATTCACACAGATGAGAAAATGCGAAATGCAATAATTCAACTCCTTTTTGAATTTAAAGATGTGTTTGCTTGGTCATACGATGACATGCCAGGATTAGGTGTTGATCTAGTGGTGCATAAATTGCCAATTTACCCTGATTGTCCTCCAGTTCAACAGAAGCAGAGAAAGTTCAAGACTGATGTCAGTGATAAGATCAAAGAAGAAATCACCAAGCAGTTGAAAACAGGAGTAATCCGGGTAGTCCAGTACACTACGTGGTTGGCGAATGTAGTTCCAGTACCGAAGAAAGATGGGAAGACTCGGGTATGTGTGGATTATCGAGATTTGAATAGGGCGAGTCCCAAAGACAATTTCCCAATGCCCAATATCCACATCCTTGTTGATAATTGTGCCAAACATGAGATACAGTCTTTCGTAGATTGTTACGCTGGATATCATCAGGTGTTGATGGATGAAGAAGATGCCGAGAAAACCGCCTTCACTACACCTTGGGGTACTTACTGTTATCGGGTTATGCCATTTGGTTTAAAGAATGCCGGGGCAACTTACATGAGAGCCATGACTGCCATTTTTCATCATATGATGCATCAAGAGATAGAGGTGTATGTAGACGATGTGATAGTCAAGTCCAGGACTCGGGACGATCATGTCCAAGACTTGAGGAAATTCTTCGAGAGGCTGAGAAAGTACGATCTGAAGCTTAATCCGGCTAAATGCGCCTTCGGAGTCCCATCGGGCAAAATTTTGGGTTTCATAGTAAGCAGGAGAGGTATCGAGTTAGATCCAACAAAGATAAAATCTATCCGAGATCTACCTCCTCCAAGAACGAAGAAAGACGTGATGAGTTTATTGAGCAGGTTAAACTATATCAGTCGATTCATTGCCCAGCTAACTAGCACATGTGAGCCCATATTCAAGCTATTGAGGAAGGATGCAGCAATCAAATGGACGGTGGAGTGTCAAGAGGCTTTTGACAAGATCAAAGAATATCTTTCAAATCCTCCAGTTCTGGTCCCTCCAGAGCCAAAGAGACCCATGTTCTTGTGTCTGACGGTCTTGGAAAATTCTTTCAGTTGTGTCCTCGGGCAACATGACATAACTGGAAAGAAAGAGTAGGTGATCTATTACTTAAGCAAGAAATTCACCAGCTATGAGGCCAAGTACACTTTGTTGGAAA